AACATCAGCCCCATTTATTCTGTGGGGTCTTTAAAAATTTTATTTATTCATTTATTTATTTTACTGGAAAGTCAGATTTACAGAGAAAAGGAGAGACAGAGAGGAACATCTTCCATCCACTGGCTCACTCCCCAAGTGGCCACAACACGGGAGATGAGTCAATCCGAAGCTAGGATCCTGGAGCTTCCTCCCAGTCTCCCATGTGGGTGCAGGGTCCAAGGCTTTGGGCCGTCCTTGACTGCTTTCCCAGGCCACAAGCAGGAAGCTGGAGGGGAAGTGAAGCAGCTGGGATACAAACCAGCACCCACATGAGATCATGGCGCATGCAAGGAGAGGATTTAGCCACTAGGCAATTGCACCAGACCCAGCCCCATTTACTTTGTACTTTATACTTCTTTTACTTTAACAGGGCACACATGGCTGAAAGGTGGAAGATGTAAATATATATCATTTAAAGATAATATTTGAAAGTCAGAAACAGAGGCCTTCCACCCACTGGTTTACTCCCCAAGTAGCTGCAACAGCCAATGCTGAGCCAGGCAGAAGTCAGGAGCTTCATCTGGGTCTGAGCTTCATCTGGGTCTGACCCCGTCAGGCCACCTTCCGTGGCTTTTCCCAAGCCATTAGCAGCCTCTGATATCTCCTTTTTATTCAAAGTTCCCACAATTTCCAAACTCGCCCCATTTGTGACTTCCCTTTCATCCTGTATTCACTGGAGTGTCTTTTCCATGATGAAACTAGCTGGCACTTCCCAGGCAGTGTCTGCCAGAGCCTTAAACACGGGATTACATCTCCTCCATCTCTGAAGTCAGTACTCTTGGCCTTCACAGGTAAATGAGTCTCAACTCTATGATAAAGCCACTAGAGCTTACTACCTTTGTCACAAAAGCTCTCTAAATCCTATCACAGACCCGTCATTTTCTCCCTCCTTTGAACTAGAGGGAGGCAAAGCAGCCCCTCCCCAGGCCCCGCCCCTTCCGCGAAGCTGAACAAGCAGCTTCCAGCCCTTCCCAGCCTTCTGCCAGCAGCAATGCGCATTCCTGCAGGGCTGAGAAACACTGGTCAGCAGGTCAGTGGCAAACTCAAAAACCAGAGGGACTCAACCTGTGCTTAAGCTGCTGAAGGCCGCAATCAGCACGAGCCTATGAAAAAGCTGCAGGAAGTCAAAATGCCAGCTCACAGCCTCACCTGCTGGCGCAGACAGGGTTCGAAACAGTGTGTCAACTGTTTTCTGTACAGTTTAGTTAGGAGTAGGAGAGCAGGAACTCAGGAAAGTCACAATGGTTACCACAATGCCCATCATGAATATTCATACACCCAGAGAGACGGAACTTACAAAACTCCCGTTGACATCATTTGGGGAATCCTTTACTGAATAAAATTTTTTAAATCTTATAGGGCCTGGCACGGTAGCCTACCGGCTAAAGGCATCGCCTTGAATGCACCAGAATTCCATATGGGCGCTGGTTCAGATCCTGGTGACCCCGCTTCCCTTCCAGCTCCCTGCTTGTGGCCTGGGAAAGCAGCAGAGGACGGACCAAAGCCTTGGGACCCTGCGCCCACATGGGGGGCCCAGGAAAAACTTCTGACTCCTGGCTTCAGATAGGCTCAGCTCCAGCTGACTTGCGGAGTGAACCAACAGATGTAAGCTCTTCCTCTCTGTCTCTCCTCTCTGTAAATCTGATTTTCCAATAAAATTGCAGTTGCAGTTCAAAGTTCACTGCCCCACGGGAACCTCTCCTGATCCCCCTGAACAGGTCTGAACAGGCCCCCAAGTGGCTGCGAACTAACCGGTTTTCCGGACTAACCATTTTTTCCGCTCTTGCCTATGTAGACCAGTAGATCACTAACCTGAACCCCCTGCAGCCAATGCACCTGCACAGAGCAGAGACTCGGCTAACTGCTGACCACGGAAACGCGACGCTGCAATAACCAACACATTCTCCAGAGCTCCGTGTTTCCAAAGCAGCATTTTACTAATCTTGATCAGTCTTACATCCAAATTGTCTTATCTTTTTTTTCTTGCCACCATACAAAGGCCTACTCAATATAATTTTAAATACAAAGCTCAGTGCCATTATATAGTTGGCTAAGCCTCTGACTGTGGCGCCAGCATCTCAATACGGGCCTGGGTTCATATCTCAGTTACTCTACTTCCCATCAGCTCCCTGCTCATCACCTGGGAAAGCAGCAGGGGACCTGGAAGAAGATCTTGGCTCTTGCTTCAAAACAGCCTACCTTCAGCCTTTCTATGCATCCCTCTCAACCATGTAAACAATATTGAAAATAATGCCAAAAAGTTAAAAAAAAAAAAAAAAAAAAGACTGCCTGTCGTTAGCCCGGAGGACCCGGGGACAGAAAGCCCCTAAGAGGCACGGAAAGTTCCCGCTGAGAATAGCCAATCCAGACTTATCCAAATGGAGCCGGCCAATCAGAAGGCAGCACATACCTTTCTGTCAAGCTCCGTCAGCACCACTAGGTAAGGAACGTACAGCGAGCGCTGTGAAGGCGCAACTTAGCATCTGCCACCTTGACCTGTGACCTCTCAAAAGACCTCAAATAAAGGTTCGGTTTATCACCATTCTAGTCTCAGTAGCCCCACTATTTGGTATAGTTTGTATCTAACTGCTGTCATCCAAAAATCAAAAAATAACAAATTCTGGTGAGGAAAAGAGGCACCGTAATAAAATGCTGGTGGGAACCTAAACTAGTACAACTACCGTGGAATAAGAATGGAGAATCCACAGCAATCTGACAGAGCTACCACATGCCCAGCCATCCCACTCCTGTACCCCATGCTTAAAGCACTACAACTAACCAGGACGTTTATCAACTGGTGACTGGATAAAGAAATTGTACTAGGCCATACAAAAGAATGAAATTGTGTCTTTTATAACAAAATGGATGCAACTGGAGACCGTTATGCTTAGTGAAAAAATCCAGTTCCAAAAAAGAGCAATCATGTCTTCTCCAATATGTAGTAATTAACAGAGAATACAAGAAAAATGCATAATGGGCCCAGCGGCGTGGCCTAGCGGCTAAGGTCCTCACCTTGAACGCCCAGGATCCCATATGGGCACCAGTTCACGTCCCGGCTGCTCCGCTTCCCATCCAGCTCCCTGTTTGTGGCCTGGGAAAGCAGCGAAGGATGATCCAAAGCCTTGGGACCCTGTAACCACATGGGAGACTGGGAGGAGGCTCTGGGCTCCTGACTCCAGATTAACTCAGCTCAGGCTGTTGGGGCCATTTGGGGAGCAAAGCAGCCAATGGAAGAACTCTCTCTCCCCCTCTGGCTGTAAAATCTGCCTTTCTTTGGGGGGAAAAAGTGACAAGTGATAACCTAAATTTATTTGCATTTGGTAGGTGTATTTAAAAAGGTGTTTCCAAAGTACCTACAAAATAATTCACCCTTTCTCAATATATACATATCAGATGACCGCACAAGAACATTCTAGCTTCAGAACAAGTCTGTGTGCAACTAAGGCAAATAAAGTATCAAAAAATCCAACTGAAGAACTTAAAAAAAAATTCATTTGAAGTATTGAATTTACACAATGAAAACCTTGTTACGTATACCCTCAGCAAAAGACACACATGGTAAATTATTCTGACAAGGACTCCGATTCAAGGGAATACAAGAATATTTTTGCAAGAGAGAAAAGTGCGATGAAGAGCTAGACAAGGAGGGCAGCGAATGACAGCACCTGACCCGGCAGTCCGAACCCCGTGAATCCCAGCCCCGCCCGGCATCTTTAATCATGTCTCCAGGCTGGCAAAACAATCACCACTTTGTAACTTTAAAAAGAACGGGAAAATGAGAAATGGTCCAACCCAGGTCCCACTTGCACTATTAACAGGCATACCCCCCCCACACACACTGCATATACTGTTCTTGTTTTAATCAGGAAAAGATTACACGGCTTTTGCTTTTCACTCCAAAAATGAAGTCCCACCGTCATCTTATTTCCTGACTGTCCAGTTGAAGCTGATTTCTTAAAATGCTTACATACTTCATTAGGCTTCAACATTAAGCAAACGTTGTTGAAGCATAAGATCTAAACTTCAGCTTATTTACATTAATACAAGAAGTTTTTTAAAACTGGTTTTAAGTGAATTACAGCTAACGGCAACATTAGATATCGGGATTAAGATACACTAATCTGTCATCCTGGAAAAAAAAAAATGCCAAGTTTTGGGGTGTAGGATTCTCATTTCCACAATTTTACAATTCTGGTCTTCCGTTGTTTCTTTCTTTCACCTTCCTCACGCCCACTTACCTTTTCTTTCTTAAATGCACCACTGCCCTGCTTCAAACTTCACCTGCTAAGAACAAAATCTCTATGTTGAAAACTACCGACTTGTTTTCCCACGTGAATGGCCAAGGCATCTGAGATGCCGGAGTGAGTGGGCCATCTCGGGATCAGGTGCAGCGAAGAAAAAACCTGGTTGGTTGTGAGCGAACTGTCCAAGTTGAGAGGGGCCACCCCGCTCCTTTTCCGGCGCTCTGTAAATCCCAAACCCAGAACCAGCTTCCCCAGACGAACTGCTCCACGCCCCCAGCTCAACAGTCGCCCCAGCAGCTCCGGGGGACCTGTGTCCCAGCTTCCCTCCATCGCATCCAACGAACGTAACCCCGGGGAAGCGGACAGGCACCCCGAAAACGGAATGACAACCGCCGGGAGCTGCCCGGCCGACGCGGCGCCTGCTCGCCCCGGTCCCCGCGCGCTGCGCCGACCGCTCCTCCGCACTGACAAGCGTGCGCCGGCCTCCCTTTCGGCGCTTCACCTTCCCGCGCCCTCCTGCCCCCGTCCCCGCCCAGGTTAAGCCGCGGCGGCCCCTGGAGGGGCGGCGGAGGGTCCGGCTGCCCCGCGGGAGGGACGGCAGGTCCTCCGAGCCGGGGGACAGGCAGTCACGCTAGGCCGCAAAGCCGGAGCCTCGCGTAGCGACCCGCGCCGACGACGGGCGCGGCCGAGAGGCCGGGGCTCGGCGCACAGACTCACCAGATCTGGAACTTGAGCAGCGGCCCCGTAGCGTACTGCATCTTTAATCTCTTGCTGGGCACGCCGCCCAGGTTGGCCGAGGCCTCGCTCCGGGCCACCGCCGACGCCGCCACCAGGAACAGCAGCACAAGCCTCATCTTCATTGAGCCAGCCTCTCCGGCCGCCCTCACGCTCACTGCAGCCAGCCCCAAGCCCGGCCGCGCGCCGCTCCTCACGGCGCAGGCGCGATCCGCCAAGGTCGGCCAGGCGGGCGCGCGTGCGCCTGCGCGGCGCGGCGCCTGCGCACACGCCGAGTGGGGCGCTGACCGGCTTCGTGGTCCTGACCCACCACCATCTTGGCTGACTTCAGGCACCGTGGGAGGGAAAGACGCGGAGACAAGAGGCCCACGTGCTTAGTGCGATAGTGCAAAAACCTGAAAACTAGTGTGCCGGCGCATTCGGGTTCTTCTTCCAAGTTCAGTAATTCAGACATTTATCTTCCTGAGACCCGTGCAAAAACACCTGCTTGACCTGTATTCCCATGACAGGGGCAAATGGGAAATCTATGACCCTGTGAACGAAATGTTTAGCTTGTTCGGGTGCTCTGGTATAGCCCTTTTCTTTACTCCTACAATATAGCTTCCCACTTAAAAATGGTGAAAGGAAATGTTGGGATTTGATGTTGACACAGTGGTTGCAGCCCCTATAGACATCCGTATCTCACATAGGGGTACCTGGTACAAGTCCCAGTTACTCCACTTCAGATCCAGCTTCCTGCTGCTGCAGAAGCTGTGGCTGATAGCTTGGATACATGGGTTCCTGACACCCAGGTGGGAGACCCTGGTTGACTCTGGGCTGTTGCACCCTTTTGAGTGGAGAAGTAGCAAAGTGAGAGATGGCAATCTCAGTCATTGCCTCTCTAAACTTTTCAAATAAAACTTAAAGAATACATCGATAACTTTTAGGAGAATATTTGGAGTTTCATTGGCAAGAATAAACTTGCCTTTGTTGGGGCCAGCATGGTGACCTAGCAAGCAAATCTTCCACTTGCCATGTGGGCATCCCATATGAGAGCCACTTCAAGTCCTGGCTGCTCCACTGCCAAGTTAGCTCCTTGCCGATGGCTTGGGAAAGCAATGGAAGATAAGCCAAGTTCTTGGGCCCCTACACTGTTGTGGGAAGAGTGGAAGAAGATTCTGGTTCCCAGCTTCAGACCAGCTCAGCTCTGGCTTTTGTAGTCATTTGAGGAGTGAACCAGCAGATAGAGGATAGTTCCCTGTCTCTCTCTCTGAAACTCTTATTTTTAAGTAAAATAAGTAAATCTTAAACAACATTTATACATTTTTATTGGAAAGGCAGATCAGATTTTAAGAAGAGAAGAGACAGAAAGATCTTCCATCTGCTGGTTCACAAAGCCCCAAGTGACCGCAACAGCCAGAGCTGAGCTGATCCAAAGCCTGGAGCATGGAACCTCTTTCGGGTCCCGCATATGAGTGGAGAGTCCCAAGGCTTTGGGCCATCCTCTATGGCTTTCCCAGGCCACAAGCAGGGTGCTGGATGGGAAGTAGAGCAGCCAGGACACAAACCAAAGCCCATATGGGATCCCAGTACTTGTAAGGTAAGGATTTAGCCATTAAGCCGTCATGTTAGGCCCAATAATTTTTAAAGGAAAACTGCCTTCAATAACTGGTAGCATTTTGTCTGTCTGGAGTTGTCAGTGCCTCTAGACACAACTCCTCCTCCCCTAAGGATATTTGGATGCAACATTCAGACTTCATAGAATGTCATCTATAAATATTTAAATATGTATCACTAAAAATTTACCATTAAAAAGACCGAAGTGCTATTATCCCACCTTCGAACAACGAGTAATAGCTTAACATCAAATATCTAATGCTTGAAATTGTCCTGTTGTCTTCACGGTTTGTCTACTATTTATTTGTTTAAATTATGATTTTTAAAAATTTATATATTATCATTGGTTGGTATGTATGGCCACGGACACAGCACTAACTGACAATTTTGTTTATTACTCATTGCCCGAGGATCCCAGTAGTCTCTGAAAGGGACATTAGAAGGATAATGTCACAAAATAAATAAGTAATAAAGGGGGAAAAAAGAAGAACAGTGTCTTAGTGATTGGCTGGCAGTGGGAAAACTGTTGGGTTTTCTGCTAGCTCTGTGACTACATGTTGCCACAAACCTTGTATTTAGAGAAAGGAAACTAAACAAAGACATATAGATAATAGATAAAGATGCAGATAATTGATACCCAAGCTTCTCACTGCAGCCTAACGTGGACTTTGATGTTTTGTGGTTGGTGCTTAGTCAAATGTCATTTTTTCTTTATCCATCCCTTTTAAGGAAAAAAAAAAATATGTTCATTTTTCACAGATGAGGAGAGGGAAGGAGCAGTTCATTTCCCAGATGGATGGGAAAGACCGAAGCCAGGACCCAGGAGCTCCATCCTGGCCTCATTGTGTGTGTGGCAGCGGCCCAAACCACTTGGGGCCATGCTCGGCTGCCTTTCCCAGGCCGTCAGCAGGCAGCTGGACGAAACTGGAGCAGCCAGCACAGAAGCAGCATCCGCATGGGATGCCAGCGGCACAAGTGGCAGCCATGTTCCTTCTTACTGTCTGTTCCCCACACCTGCCCTTACTTTGTCTCCTTTTTTCTTACTTGCTAAAGAAACTGTATGTTTGTCACACTAGGTTTTCCACAGCCTATGTCTTCCTCATCACAAACTCATGGTGTCCTTTCATTATTGCTGCTCCACTTCCCATCCAGCTCCCTGCTTACAGTCTGGGAAAGCAGTGGAGGATGGTCCAAAGCCTTGGGGCCCTACACCCATATGGGCAACCCAGAGGAAGTTCCTGGCTCCTTGCTCAAGACCAGCTCAGCTCTAGCCATCACTGCCATTCAGGGAATGAACTAGCAGATGGAAGATTCCCTGTCTCTCCTCCTCTATCCATAACTCTGCCTTTGAAGTGATTTTTAAAAAGAGGGAATTAGGGCCCGGCGCGGTGGCGCAGGTGGTTAAAGGACTTCGCCTTGAACGCCCGGGATCCCATATGGGCGCCGGTTCTAATCCCGGCAGCTCCGCTTCCCTTCCAGCTCCCTGCCTGTGGCCTGGGAAAGCAGTCGAGGACGGCCCAAAGCTTTGGGAACCTGCACCCACGTGGGAGACCCGGAAGAGGCTCCTGGCTTCGGATCGGCATAGTATCGGCCCAAGTGCTTGGACCTCTGAGAGCCACAAGAGAAACTCAGGTGGAGCTCCTGGCCCTGACTTAGCATGGCAGAATCCTTCTTGATGACATTTGGGGGAGTGAACCAGTAGATATGTCATTTTCCCTCTTTGTCTTTCCTTCTCTGCCACTCGGCTTTGCACATAAATAAATAAACCAATTTAAAAATGACACATGAAAAAAGCTTTTTCTGTCTTTTCCCTCCTTTCAAATAAAACGAAAATAAATAAATCACAACTTTTTTAAAGTTTTGGCTGGTACCTCGGTGAATGGCAAGGGTTATGATTGCTTTATCTATTGTAGTAAGAGTCTTGAATATGGCATGATAATAAGTGAGAGGAAGAAATATTACTAACAAATTTTCTAGAGAAATAAGCCTGTTCAGTGATTGCTGACAAGGAGTATAAATGAGTAGACAGCTACCATTCACCCTTCCACCCTTCACTCTGTTGGTGTAGTCTGGGACCTGAGCATTCCCAATATGTTACAATTTCCTTAGATCGTGCCCATGTGCAATCACACCCTGTGCATGAGGTTCAAGGTCCCCGAGACTACAGACTGAGTCCTGTTTGCTTTCCAATCATTTGGGACTTACTAAGGGCATATGAAGCTAAGGTTACCAAGGAATAGCCAAATGCAGTTATACAACATTCTTGAAGCCTCAACTACAAGCATATCAGATTTCAAAACAATATGCATGAAAAAAACAACATTTGAATCAAAAGTCAATGAAAGATAAAGTACAGCAGTTGAGTAGCATACTCAGTTATCTTGTGGGGTTTCTTGAGATGATTAATCAAATGGGTGTGCTGTTTTTCTCCTCCTAGAGCTGGCCGCTCAGTTTCTCTTCTAGTGGCAGGGGGATGGAGGGTGGGGCTGTCAATCACACTGCCATCGCTCACAGCCTTGTACTGTCAGTTAATTAAAATCTCAACACTTTCACAGGCAGAGGAGAATCTGGCAAAGTCACGAACTATAAAAATGGGTTGGGTTTGGGAGAAGAATTTCAAGAAGAACTCTAGACTGCAAGCCTCTCCAGTTCCTGCCCTCTCCAAGTCTTCATTCTTTATCTTTTCCTTTGAATCAATGAGGAACCATCTATCATTTTGTTTGCAAAGCAAAAACTCTTAGAACTGTGCATCTTTCTTTAAGCCTGGTTGAGCTTTTTCCACTGCTGCCATTTACACATTCAGCTCTTACACATAGAATTAAAGACAATATTGAAGGTTTGAACGATAGACTTGTCCTCATTTGGAAAGCTGTTTTACAGATGGAACACCAGGCAGCAAGCACAGCGGCAAGGCTGGCTTGCTCTGCCAAGGAAAGGCTGGCCAACAGATTCTACAGCAGTTAAAGTGAAGAAAGTTATCCTGCAGGTCTTGTAATTTACTCCCTACTGTCTGCAAGTGAACCTGGAGTCAACACCCTCCCCTGACCAAGCCCCAGGAGTGTAGTTCTCAGTTATCAGGTTGTCATCTACACCTGCAGCAATGGCGCACAGCATCCCAAGTTGGCAGCAGAGACGGTTAAGTTGAGGAAATCAGCCTGTCTGGGTGAAGGAGGCTCTGAGAACTGCCAAGACAAGATTCCATTTAAAGGGGAAAACTGAATTTGATTCAGCAATTCCACCTTAACCTAGAGAATTAATAATAGATGAGTAAAGATGTGATCACAAAAGTGCTCATCAAAATGTCCATGATAAATCAGAAACCATGTCAGTGTCCAACACTGAGTTAAGTAAATCATGGTACGTTACAGGTATTTGAACAGTCATTAAGAATGACAAAGTCTTACACACAGTTACACACACACTAGTGGACAAGACACCAAGTAGTTGATTCCCAAGAGGAAAACTGGCAGCTGAAGACCCGGAAGGGAGAGATGTTCTTTTTAGTGTATAAAGAACTTCTGGGCATTTAACACAGTGTGCCATTCTTGCATAACACTTTCTCTAAAAAGTCAGTTGATGTTTTAGGAGATTTCATGAAAAATAAAAATGGCTTAAACTGGATAGCAGCCGGCAAGACCTCAGCACATTGTTCTCTACCTAGCACACTATCTACCACTGTCCACACCATCATCTCCCGAAGGCTGCTTTGGCAAGAAGGGGGAAAGGAGAGAACAGCAAACAAAAATCTCTTCCCTTGGCACCTCGCAACTCACAGACTGCCAGCAGCCTTGGGGTGTCAGGCATCCCCTGTTCCTCCTGGGGTGTGGGTGCAGAAGGGGTCCGGAACTAAAGTTCTGAGCCTCCGGTCTGAGGAAGTGTGAGCAGCTTCCACGCAGGGTGGGCGCTGAGAGTCTGCTACCTGCCCAGATGCACCGGGCCTGGCATTGTTACTGTCACTGTCACATTCTTCATCATTTTAAACAAGAAAATTCATGTTTTTATTTTGCAACAGGCACCACAAATTATGAAGCAGGCACTACTTTAAAAAAAGATTGATTAATTGATTGATTAGAAAGGCAGACACACACAGAGAAAAAAAGACAGAGAGAAAAAGATTTTCCATCCACCATTTCACTCCCCAAGTGGCTGCAACAGTCAGAGTTGAATCAATCCAAAGCCAGGAGCTTCTTCAGAGTCTCCCATGCAGATGCAGGGTTCCAAGGCTTTGGACCGTCCTCGTCTGCTATTCCAGGCCACAAGCAGGGAGCTGGATGGGAAGCGGAGCATCTTGGTGCATGCAAGACAAGGACTTTGGCCACTAGGCTACTGCTCTGGGCCCCAGGTCCTACTTCTATGCCCAGGGCTGATGCTTCCATGCTCAGTGGTACCCATGCTCTTCATCTTAAATTCCTTGAGCAGGTCTTTCCAGGCAATGTTTAAGGTGCAACAAACAAGTATGACTGAATCATCTGAGATAAAACTGAGACAGGGCAGAGGGGAAGAGGCACAAGTTAGGCACTTCTAGTTCCTTAAACAGAGGCCCGGATGTCCCTGCTGGGAAGTAGAAGGAGGAAGATGCAAAGCCAAAATGTGTGGGTACAGTGAAAGGGTTCTCTTTGGTGCCATGACAATTCTATTGTTTAATTCTACTGATTTTCCATGTTTAGCTTCAATTTAACTTAAGCCAATAAAACTGTGCCTAGAAGTCATTTTGCTTAATAATGTAAATATAAAAAAGTTTTGCTCTTTCAGATATCAAAACTATAAAACTATAGTTGAGTTTTCTTAAAATCAGCTTAAATCCTAGAGGTCACACAGTGTCTAATATGTAACTCTGCCTGGGTACATGCCTGGCTTCTGCAGGACCTCTCTCCTCTGCAGAACCTCTCTCCTCTGCAGAAATACTTGTGGCTGAAGTTCTCACTTTGCATGCACCAGGAAACCATGTGGTGCCAGTTCATATTCTGGCTGCTCCACTTCCCTTCCAGCTTGTGGCCTGAGAAAGCAGTGAGGCCGCCTAAACCTTGGGATCCAGTGCCCACATGGGAGACCCGGAAGAAGCTCCTTGCTCCTGACTTCAGATCAGCTCAGCTCTGGCCTTTGCAGTCACTTGGAGAGTGAACCAACAGATGGAAGATCTTTCTCTCTGTCTCTCCTCCTCTCTATAAATCTGACTTTCCAATAAAATTAAATAAATATTTTTTTAAAGTCAAGTTTACCCTCTCTTTAGTAATACCTGAAAACACATCAAAGCATCCTTATGAATCTCCTAAAAATGTCTTTAATCTGGTCTTCCTATAAAAATTATCATTCAAACTTAAAAAAGAATTCTCATTCTTACTATTTGGTATTCTAATCTTAATTTTTAAATTGTAAGTGATTAATAAGGCAATTTTGGGGAAGCTTTAGTTTCACAAAAAAAAAAAAAAAAACTGAATGGAAGGCACAGGGGAAATGTAACATACCGGCCCTCTATGTGCTCAGCCTCTCCCCCCAGAACAACGTGCAGCTGCACCAACTGCTCCTGACCATCCCAAGTCCGTCATTCACACTCGGTGCACCCTTGTTGCTCTGTGTTCAGTAGATCTGGACAAGTGTATAATGAGAGGCAGCCACCATTACGTGGTCCCTACAGAAGAGCTTTACTGCTCCGAAAATCCTGTATTTTACCCATTTCCTCACCAGCTGCCGACTTCCCACATTTTTAAACTTTTTTTTTTTCCTAATAAGTCCTGCAGATTTTCATGGTTCACCTTAGCAGCCATCATCATTTGTACATTTCTCCCATGGGAAAATATTGCCCCATTCTATAAGTTGCTGACTGACTAACAAACTCCTGGAACATGACTCATTTTAAGTCCAAGGGAGGTCATGAGTAGAGAAGTCTAGAGGAAAAGTGGGAGTAAGTTCATGGCAAGGGGAGAAATGGGGCTCACTGAAGGAATCTAATGGTGAGAAAAGAAGAAAGATCAGTAATCCGGAAGATTAAAATGACAACTTTAAAACAAATAAACATGTTCCAGATACACAGTAATATTTCCAAGTGCTCATGAATGTTCCTACACTTCCATCTCTGGAACCCTCTACTGGCCTTACGAAGAACCTTAGTAGCAGGTGACCTCAGTAAATGACTTCCAATTTTCAAATCCCCCCTAAGACGTACACATTCTGAAATGTAACGAAAAGTGTGCCTTTCTCACTTCCAGTTTAGCAGAGCAGAGCAGGCAGGAGCCTTTGCCTCTATCCTCATGGTGACAACACAGCCAGTGTAGTACAAGGACCATGGCAACAGGGAAAAGGAGGAAGGACAGGGCACTGCGGACATCCTAGGAAACAGAAAGCAGAAGGCATTGCACTAACCGGCTGACAGATCGTTTCCACAATGTACCGGGGTGGAGTAAAACTAAGAGCTGCTGAAACCGAGGCAGGTCCACAGAAGGAGGGAGGGGGTAGGCTGAGAAAGAACCACTGGCAAGGACTTTTCTCCAAGTGTAAGGAGCAAGTACGTTTCAAAGACAGCCCAGGGCTCCACACCTAAAAGAGAAATTTGAAAAGCAGAGAGGGAGAAGGAGAGAAAAGAGGGAGAGCTTCTCTTCCTTTTTTTTTTTTTAAGACACACGTACTATTATCAGAAAGGCTTTTGTCAGTTGATTCACTTCCCAAGTGGCTGCAATGGCCAGAGCTGAGCTGATCCGAAGCCAGGAGCCAGGAGCTTCCTCTGGGTCTTCCATGTGGGTGGGTGCAGGGTCCCAAGGTTTTTTGGGCCGTCCTCTACTGTCTTTCCAGGCTACAAGCAGAGAGCTGAATGAGAAGTGGAACAGTCGGGACAGGGACTGGAGCCCATATGAGATCCTGGAGCAAGCAAGGCAAGGATTTAGCCACTGGGCCCCCGTGCCAGGTCCAAGAAAGAGGGCATCTATGGCTCATGGCTACAACGACCAGAACTGAGCTAATCTAAAGCCAGAGACCAGGAGTTCCTTTGAGGTTTCCCATATGGGTGCAAGGGTCCAAGCACTTGGGTCATTCTCCTCTTATTTCCCAGCTGCATTATCAGGGAGCTGGGTTACAGTGGAGCAGCCAGGCCTCAGATAAGCACCCCATATATGGTACTGGCATTGGAGGGGGTGACCTATACAACCGCAGCCGAGTCCTAGCCTGACGCCTACCTTAAGGTGTGCAGCACTGAACTGTCTCTGTGGAAGTATCATGGTGGTGTGGAGGCCTGACCACGGAGCAGATGGGGGACTTGCATCTCAGCATGACTGTGGCTGCAAATGGACTGTGTCCTTACATACAGACAGGAGGTGCCAACATGACCTTGCTCACATTACAACTTTTCAAAAAATCAAAACTTTTTTTCCCTTAATGTTTTTGGGTACAATACAAACACCACAGACTGACATATAAAATTTCTTTGGTACATAAAGCTCAATTTAGTCTTTTAAAAAAAATGGCAAATTGAGGGAGGGTGAGAAAGGGAGAGAGGGTGGGACATGCAGAGCAAAATTTGATAGCTAAATCCTCACCTTACAAATGCCAGAATCCCATATTGGTGCTAGCTCATGTCTTAACTACTCCACTTCTCATCCAGTTCCCTGCTGGTGGCCTCCAAGAGCAGTGGAGGATGGCCCAAACCCTTGGGATCCCACACCCGCATGGGAGACCTGGAAAAAGCTCTTGGCTCCTGGCTTCATTGGCTCACCTCTGGCCATTGTAGCCATTCAGGGAGTGAACCAGCAGATGGAAGACTTCTATTTCTCTCCTTCACCCTCTGTAAATCTGCCTTTGCAATAATAGAAATAAAGCCTTTTTTTAAAAAATAAATCCTTAATCTAGCCTCCTTACTTCTTACAAAAAAGTTCGTGGCTTCTCAATTATGGAACTGTATAGTGACGGAGTACTTGGGTCTGTCATATACAGATGTGGGGGTATAATGGAACATGCATCCCTGCTTTCATATGAAAGATGGATTCCCAAAGAAACTGTTGGACACGGACAGACAAAGAGATGCTGGGCTGTCTGCATTGTCTGTACCAACAGTGTTGGGGTACACTTAAACAAGAAACTGATAGAATTATGATTCCTTATGAAGGACTACTCCATTGTAGTAAAATGGGGAAAATCTGTCAGGGGATGAAAGTTTGTGGGGGAGGAATCCCAGGCTATATGAAACTGTACCTCGCAATTCAAAATTCAAAATAAAAACATATTTAAAAACAAAAAACAAACAAAAATGATCTCCGTGATGGCAGTAACAAACAGGAAACTATATTAACTAAACAAACAAAATTCCAAAACCAAACAAGTGAATCGGGGGAAATGAAAAAATAAGAGTTCACAATAATCAAAGCCCAGGGCTAGCCTAAGGGGTAGATGCTAGTTAACATTCTTGCATCTGCAAGGCTGGGCTGAAACATCCAACAAGAACCAGATTGGGTGGAAGGCCAATCAGGAAAAGCCACAGTTCCTGCTAGGACAGGAGGGCTGGCTCATGGACCCCCTGGTATGTGCAAAATCTGGCATTGGGAGAGGTTCTGATGCAGGAGCCTGGGCAACCCCTCTGGCAGTACACAGACCCGGCAGGTAAGCGCAAGAAGCACGATAGGAAACAGCCCAGAAAAGGCCATGGAAATTAACCCACTGGCATACACATGGCATGGGTTGGGGGCAGACCAGGCTGAAAATGTTCACATCACCCACTGGCGAATTCGAGCACCAGAACAGAGTATGGGTCAGGACAGGTTCGGTTGCGACACATACCAGTACACATTAAGGAATGCCAAGGTGAGATGAGCCATACCAGACGTGGTTGCAGTGCTCAAACAGCACATGTGAAAAACAGTGGGAGCAAAGCCAGCAGGGGAATGTGGGCTCCCCTGCTGGGCATCCACTCCCATTGGAAAACATGAGTCGGGCTGGGGACAGACCAGACTAGGCAGGGCTACAACACCTGTGGACTTCATGTGGACTAGATCAGGGAAGGGTCAGGCTGGGCTGACTGTTCTGACTGGTACAAGCAAAAATTAGAGTGGGTGAAGGATGATTAGGCTTAGCTGTAGCATCAGTTGGCAGAGGATGGCTCTGGGGTCTAATTCTGTCAAGTCAAACCACAGAACCACCTGGAGAATGCATAATCTGGAAGTGGGAGTGGCCTAGTAGGGAAAGAGTGGGCTCCTCCCTCTTGGGTTACCACTCTCACTGGAGAGTACAAAAACTAGGACAGGGGCAGGGGTGGCTAGACAGAAAGGCAGCCAACAACATCTGTGTGGGCTGCATAGTGGAGCTGGTTAGATGGAACTAGCCTTCAATGACCATTGACATGTATGAGAGCCGAATGGGATGTGGGACAGAATGGACTAGTCTGCTGCATATACTGGCAAACCAGGGTAGGGGGCAAGGCTGGTGGGAGTTATTGTGGGTTGCTCCGACTAAGGCTGCAGCCCCCACTGGTTTATGTGAGGGCCGAGTGTGTGCTGGGCAGAACCAGACTGGAATGCAACACCCATTGTTTCAGTGAAAATCGGGGCTGGAAACAGAATCAATCCAGCAATTACAACCACCAGCTGATTGGGGCGATGGAAGGTACCCAGTACCGGGCCCTGTACTTGCTAGTACATACAAGAACCTGGTCTGGGAACACCTCAAAGTTTCTTTGGGGATCTCCCCAACTGAACTGCCGGACTCAGAATCCTAACCAAGAAAAGAGGGAGGACAGAACAAGTCAATCAACCACCTCAGCTATATGTTGGCAGTGAAAAACTGGGTAAAGGGAGACTATGTCAATCAGTGGTTTCTTCAACCTCATCATGCTTGGGGTGGCGAGACTGGCAGCGATTCATAACTGGTGAACTATCATAACCATTTGAGCAAGACCCTTGGAGCGTGCCCCACATCAGGGACCTGGGGTGGGAGACTGGGTGGAGCTTCTACCATAATATCTCCCTTTACGTTAGATACATGAAGGAAACAATATGGAAATAATAGTCTTACCCACTTTCTTATGGCCCTCGAACATTTTTACCCTAAGTAACTGTGTAAAGATTGTCAAGAATATAATATGAAAAAAAAAGGAAAAAGAAATCACAATATTGAGAAAGGGAAGCACTGATTGGGTGAAGGCATCTGGCACACTGTCATCTTGTCCTGGAGCATTTAGCTTTGAGTCCCAGCTCTGTTTTCCGGCTCTAGATTCCTGCCAGGTGTACCCTGGGAAGCAGCAGATGGCCCCGGCGCTTGGGGCGCCCCACTCGTGTGGAGGCCCCAGGAGGTCCAGGCCCTGACTGCTGCAAGCGCGTGAGCAGCAAAGACCGCACACATGATCTGCCTTTCACATCAATTAGATAATGTTAAAAACAATAACAAAGTCCAAGAGAAAGCTACATTTGATACTTAAAAAAAATAGGAAATATTTAGCAAAAGATGACCACAGGATGTTTGACATAGCCAAACGAAAACAAAGAAAAAAATCACCGGAAACATAAATACAGCAAAGATGTCCATAAGGCAAGCCATAATTTATTTCTATTTTAAGCTTTCTAGAAACACTTCTTAATGGAAAAAAATGACATTTGACTGTTTACACATTTTTAAGAACATAGTATCACATATTGCAGGGAACATGGGCTAAGTTCCCAAACTTCGGGAACACACTGGAGTCATTGCAGGATCAAAAATATAGACACCTGATTTCTACCACTAACTTTTTTTTAAAACGTAACTGCTGTGAAGGGAGCTTAATCATTAAAATGCAACAAAACTTGGGAATCACTGGGCTAAATAATCCTGAAAATAAACAGCACCTCCAAAAATCTCAATGGCTTAAAAAGTAAGTCTATTTCTCACTCAGGTTTTAAGTCCATCATGATTTGAAAGGGGGATTTTGCTAATCTTGCTCACTGGAGCCGCTCCATCAATAATGGTGCTAACACACCCCCAGGACTCGGGGTCCACCAGAGCAGGAAAGGAGTCACAAAAATCAAGTATCAGGGCCCGGTGCAGTAGCCTAGCAGCTTAAGTCCTCGCCTTGAACGCACCCAGGATCCCATATGGGCGTCGGTTCTAATTCCGGCAGGTCCACTTCCCATCCAGCTCCCTGCTTGTGACCTGGGAAAGCAGTCCAGGATGGCCCAAAGCCTTGGGACCCTATACCTGCATGGGATACCTGGAATAAGTTCCTGCATCCTGGCTTCGGAGCGGCACAGCATCTGCCGTTGTGCTCACTTGGGGAGTGAATCATCGGACGGAAGATCTTTCTCTCTGTCTCTCCACCTCTCTGTATATCTGACTTTCCAATAAATAAATAAATGTTAAAAAAAAAAAATCAAGTATCAGCTCATCAACTCTTGTGTTCATTTTTCACTAACTCTTTGTTAGAAGGATCAAGAAATATAGTCAGACCTAACTCAAGGGGAAACGGAAGTGAAATCCTCCCGTGGGCACAAAGGCAAAAACCACAAGAAACATTAACGCAGTCACCATGTGTCTACCGTATTTGCGCAATACTACACAGTGAATACTTGCTGTAATATTTTTCTCTGGTACCACATCTGGAATCTTGAATTGCCTTTTGCTGCCTGAATGAAGTTAACAAATCCACAAACATATCCCTAAATAACTTTATGTTTCTAAATTTCCTTTATAATTTGCAGTAAACCCAGTGAACTGACCCATTGTTATTGCTAAACCTGGTTTGACTTGCTGATCTTGCCAGTTGAGTAGACCTGGAGATGCAGGTGCCTGACATGGGCTTACCCCACCCCTCCTTTTCAGAGCCAACAAAAACTGGGTAAGATGGGCACAGCTGGGCTCTCGCAGTTACATCCTATCATGTCACTACTTAGAAATTCCGGCCAAGTTTGTCATGCTTTGGATATTGATGCATTCATACAGGTGGTTCAATCCAAGAGCCATTTTGAAATTCCTGAATTAAAAACTCTCTGGGCCAGGCCTGTGCCCCTGCCGGTCAGCCTGGCCCTTGCTCACACACCAAGTGCTGGGTTCAGTCTCAGTTGCTCTGTTTTGGATCCAGCTTCCTGCTGCTGAACCCTGGGAGGCAGCAGACAATGTGTCAGCTGTCTGGGTCCCTCCCACCCGGGGGGGGGGGGGCAGGCCTGGAGAGCACGCCAAGCTCCTGGCTTTGGCAGGCCCAGCCTCCATCACTGTGGCCATTGAGGAAAGAGCAGACCAGGGAATGGAAGATCTCTCGTTGTCTCCCCCTCTCTTCTCTGTCTTTCAAACAAGTAAAATAAAATCTTTAAAATATATATGTGAGAGATTACATATATGACAGGTTACAATATATATCTCTCTTAATTTAATACATGCCTCATAAATTAGTAAAGGAATTTAAAATAACAACAAAATGATTAAATTTAAAATGTCTTTATTTCATTTATCTGGTAAATACTGTCCCTTGTGGAAAAACAATGTCCTTTGTCTTTCAATCTGAAGCTTAGTTAGCTGAAAAGTTCATTTCTCTTTCTGTACTGCATACTGACATGATATAGGATGCAGAATGTAAAAGTCAATTTAACAGGCATTATTAAATATCTTCACACATAAGCAAAATCCTGAATGAATGGTTAAAATTATAGAGCCACATTAAATATGGGCACATGGATGTCCCACGTAGCCCAACAGCTTAACAGAAAAGATGCTTGAACTGACTTCCGGTAGCCAACTGTTTTGGATGAAACTTTAAATGCCCAATTCTAAGTCTTCCAGCTCTTGAAGAAGTGCTTTCTCTTTCTGAATTTTCTCCAACTGGAAAAGTTCAAACACAAAGAAGTTACTAAAAGGAAAGGAATAATCATCGGTTTTATAACCAAAACAACAGGACAAAGAATATTTCTGACATTTTTCAGATTCATGGGTAAACACACTTTAAAAATATGCTAGAAACAAATTTTAATGTATCTGATATGACTCAAGTTGGGAACTGTCTGAATGCTTTTGAGGAAGATCTTCACGTAGCGTGGGCTGAGGCGGCAGTGGAGCAGGAGGGGAGAGGCGGCCCAGGCACGGGTGACTGACACGGGGAACCGCCGGCTCTTCCAGCAGCGACCTCACTGGCTAAACTGCATCTTCTTAAGCTGAACACCGCTCAAGAATTTAAGTATGAAAGAGAAATGGCTACTCTTAAAACTTAACTTGCTTTTTTTTTTTTAACACATTAAATCACTGCTTACAGAGAAATGCCAGGCGGAAGTGGCTGTGTTTAGGACCACAGATGAAGCATGTAGAACATACCTGGTTCTTCTCTAGCTGCTTCCCACTTGCCGCTTGTTCTTTCAGTTGTTCAATTGCTTTCAGCTTCTATAAACATCAAATATGAGTCAAGAAGCAGGAAGAAAGCCGTTTGTTACATTTTCCTAATGACAACTGAGCTATGTGAGTGTGACACTTTAATAAGGTTAGTAAATTATCTTATATTCCTATCAAGAACAGTCTGTTAAAATCTTAGGGTAAGCTTTTTTTGGTTTGTTTATTTTCCAAGAATCAGAGAGAGAAGGAGAAACACAGAAAGACACAGAGAGAGTTGGCCTCCTATCGGCCCGCTCCCCCGATGGCCACACCGGCCAGGCTGAAGCAGGAGTTACACCCAGGTCTCCCAAGTGGGTGGCAAGTGACCAGACGCCAGGGCCACGTGCTGCTGCTTTTCTCAGGCCATCAGCAGGGAGCTGCTGTGGACGCAGAATGGCAAGGACACAAAGTAGCACCCAAATGAGCTGTCAGTATGGCACACGGTGGCTTTACTCACCATGCCACAGTGTTTAGCCCCAGGTAAACTATCTCAGAGTTAGAAAAGCATACGTAAGAGCAAAATGTGAGTGTGTGTATTGTAAAGATTTATTTTTATCTGAAGAGCAGAGTTACAAATAGAGAAGAGGCAGAAAGAATCTTTCATCTCCTGGTTCACTCCCTAAATGGCCACAACAGCTGCAACTGAGCCAATCCCAAGCCAGGAACCAGAAGCCTCTTCCTGGTCTCCCATGTGAGACTAGGCCTCCAAAGCACTTGGGCCATCCTCTGCTGGTTTCCCAAGGTTAGGAAATCATCCATAGATAACTGGCTTCAGGCAACCAACCTTGACTTTCTCTTACACCATTCTCAAGTACTTCTTTCAGTACGCACAGCTCTTTTTTAAGTTTCTCACCTTCTTCAGGTTCTTAATCTTTTTGTCGACCTCAGGGTCTCCAGAAGTTGACTGCGAGGTGATGTTTCGCGGCGTGCTTTGTGGAGCAGAAACAGATGTCAAATCTGGACTTTTGTCACTTCTTGCTTCCTGCAGGAAGAATTTTCTTAAAATTCAGTTTTGAAAAACATCAAAATATTTCAATCCATATAGCCTTGGTACATACACTACAGAAACCAAATGTGTAATGTGATCTATATTTTGTGTGGTCAAAGAATCTGAATTAAAGGTATCATGAAGTACACTACATATTCCCATAAAAGACAGAAATTAAATGACCTGAGCGTAAACCAGGAGATCCTGCCCGAGGAACAGGCGTTCCTACCTTCTGGACATTCCAGAGATGGTCTGGGAACGTGAGAGGACTTTTCTAATTAAGGCATTTAAAGTTTTGCTGTTGGGAATTCCTCCACGACAAGAGTGCACAGGATCATGCAGGTGTAACGGGTGACAGCATGTGGACCAAAGTCTTGCACAGATGAATCCTTGGTCCAATCAACTTTGCTCTGTCACATAGCTCCCTAGCACACGTTCTGCTGATAAAGAACCTAAACACTGCTTCTGTGGGATCCAACCTCTGATGACCTTCCTAGTCTCATTTCTCCGCTTTGAAGGAACACTGACTCTGAACCATCATTTATTTCTCCAAAGGGGTTACATACTCTTTGCTTCTGCTCCTTGTTTTTTTACTGGCCCTGGGGGACCCACAGTATGTCCCCCCAGGGTCATCCACTGAACCCTACTTATCCTTGAAGCCCCCGGGGAAAATGTCCCGATCAAGGCTGGGGCAGTTGCACAGTTCAGCAGTCAGTGAACAAAGCCAGCCCGGGAATGGCGGGAAGGTACCACTAAGTGCCAACTATGCAGAAGCTGGTGTGGGGAGCAGGACTGACAGTGAAATCCAGACACCTTGATATGGCACACAAGTACCTTAAGTGGCGCTGAAACTGCTATGCCAAACATTGGCCCAAATTTCTGTTTTTGTTTTATTTGTTTATTTATTTATCAAATCAGCAGAATTACAGAAAGAGGAAAGACAGAGAGATTTTCCTTCTGCTAGTTCACTCCCTAAATGGCCAGAGCTGGCCAGTTCCACGTCAGAACCCTGGATATTCTTCTGGGCACAAGGGCCCATGGACTCTCCTCTGTTGCTTTTCCAGATCATTGGTAGGGAGCTGGATGGGGAGTGGAGCAGCTGGGACTCAAAGAGGCGTCCCTATGGGATGCTGGTGCCACAGGTGGCGTATAGAACTGCAAAGCAAGGGTGCCAGTCAACGAGTTTCTATTCTTAAGGAGCCTGTAAATTCTGGTAATGTCCTGTTTGACCACTGCTGTGGTTTGAACGGGATATGAGTAATCACCCCAAAGATTCGTGTGTTGAAATTTAATCTCCCTTGTGAGGTCAAAAGAGAGTGGAAATTGAATCCAATTTTGTTACTCAAAGGTCAGGCCTGTGTGAAGTGTCAGCATGATGGAGAGTCATTAGGTGGAGGCCTCATGACTGAATCCAGGGAGTTGGGTTTTTTTGTTTGTTTGTTTCTTTAAGATTTATTTATTTTTGTTGAAAAGTCAGATATACAGAGAGAAGGAGAGACAGAGAGAAAGATCTTCCATCTGCTGGTTCACGCTCAAGTAGCCACAATGACTGGAGCTGAGCCAATCTGAAGGCAGGAGCCAGGTGCCTCTTCCAGGTCTCCCATTCAGGTGCAGGCTCCTAAGGCTTTGGGCCATCCTTGACTGCTTTCCCAGGCCACAAGCAGGGAGCTGGATGGGAAGTGGACCTGCCAGGATTAGAACTGGCGTCCATATGGGATCCTGGCATGTTCAAGGCGAGGACTTTAGCCGCTAGGCCATGCTGCTGGGCCCAAATTCCCATTTTCTTAAAAATAAATAAATAAATAAATAAATAAATATCTTAAAATTACCCAACCTGCAATACTTTTGTATGGCAGTCTAAGGAGGCTAACACATTCACTGTCTGAATCTCAAATAATCAGCATGGCTTCACTGCCCAACACTCCCAGCCTGCGTGGCCGCACTAGCACCACGAGCCACAAAATGCAACGACTGAATTGTCAATTATTACAGTAGTGTGGCTTTTCAACTAGGAATCAAATAAACAAGTATTTTAGAATGAATGCATCATTTGGGCATTTCTGACATTTACATTCCTAGCTGGATAATTGCATTCAGTAGTGTAATACTGATCGACAAACTGGCTTACCATATAGTCATTTTCATCCTTTGTAAAATTATTTTAAAGATTTATTTATTATTTATTGGAAAGGCAGAGAGTGGAAAAGAACTCCTGTCTGCTGGTTCATTCTCCAAATGTTTGCAACAGTCCGGGCAAGGCACGGCTGAGGACAGGAGCCAAAAACTCCCGATGCCTCCCAATGCTGGGAAGGCGCGTTGCCCAGGCTGCTCGATGGGCAGTGGGCAGCAGCTGGGACTCAAACAAGACATGCTGATACAGACGGGCGAGTGCCCGGACACGGCTTACCTCAGCACTATGATAGCCTCTCCTGCTATATATCT